TAGCAAGCCCCAGCAAATATCCCTGTCCCCTCATTTCCATCAGTGTTGGGATTAGAGCTGCTCTTGGCTGCACGGGCTTGTGCATGGGTCTGGGGATCAGAATTCAGGTCTTCATGCTTAGATAGCAAATGCTGTTACCCACTGAACTATCTCCACAGTCCCTAAAATTGTTTTTAATGGCCATGTTTATCACTATACTATTTAAAATATATTTGTGTGTGAAATTATAGACTTTATACAAGAGGATATTAGTTTTTCACAAAGAAGAGGTCTAGATAAATCAATACAAAGTATAACATTTAACTGAAATTCAGTTAATTGTTATGTTTCTCTTTTGCATCTCGTATTATGGCAAAGGGCAGACTTTTGAAAACAAATGCAAAAATGGTACAGTGTAAGTACATTCCCCAACTTATAGCATTTGTAAGTACCTAGCAGTGGATTTTTCTGGTTCAGTTTTTGTTGACTCTAAAGAAGAGACAGGTTAGGAAGGGGACATCAGTTGCCTTGTCCTCAGTCACATAGAGACATGCAGTAGTATGAACTTGTAGTGTTGTGTGGTGATGTCTTTTAAAGTTACACCATTGACAGCCCCCTCAGGAGTCTCTTTAAGTTGCCATTGAGTACCAAGGAACACATTGTAGAGGGCAAAATACCTGCAATTAAGCATTGCAGTCTCCCTTTCCACTGGGAACTGGCCACTAATACCTATGTACCTATCATCACACCACTGCCAATGCTGCCGCCGCCACCACCACCACCTCCATTTAATATGCCTACTTACTCAGGATTTGACGCAGAAAAAGTTGTGTGTGTGTGTGTGTGTGTGTGTGTGTGTGTGTGTGTGTGTGTGTTTGTGTGTGTAAAGGTTGAATGTCTGAGGGGGTAATTTTAAGGATGCATCTTTAGACTTTGGTTACTGTTTTAGGGAAGGAGAAACTGGAATGGAGAAATTAAGAAAAAAAGGAACACAGTATGAAGGAGAGGGAAACGTATTGTGTGATTCTGAAATTTCTAGGTTGGAAGATGAATTAGATGCCCCAGACATGTCATATAGGTGTCTAAATGGGTTTTATATGTGCTACATTTAAGGTACCCAGGGAGCAGTTGGGAGAATTAAGATCTGGGAAGGTATCTGGGCTGGTGGGAGGCAAGCATGTCTCAGCTTGGATCTGTGCTGGGGCTAGGTAGGAAGAAGAGCATGTCCAGTGTGAAGAGGTCAAGAATATGAACACACCTCACTCAACACACATTTAATTGCCTTTGCTTTTAATAAAAATGGGACCAGTGTAAAGTGAAAAAATGGGAGCATATTTCTCAGAAATCTGTGAGACTGCATCCAAATTCTCAAAAGTTAATTTTTTTTTTTTTATTGTTGAGGTCTCTATGTGTAGCTACATGACTGAGCTAACTTGGTTCCTTCTCAATGCTCTTCTGCAGAGAACCCACAGCATCTTTGATTTTTCTATGTCTTCTCTTGCCTCACTACAAGGAATTCTGTATGGAATAGCCACTAAGACTTTTTGTCCTTTTTGATCAACTAAATGTGATGTAATTTTTTTATACAAAATCTTATCTCTTCCCTTGCCTCTGTTGGCCTCTTAGCTCCTGTACATTGCCCCTCTTCACTTTCTAGGCCATGGCTGAAGTATCCGTCTTCTCTTTTAGCCTCAGAACAAGCCTTTATGGTAGTTACTCAGTAACTAAACATGAAATGAGTGGGTGAGTCTGCTCAGATTTCCTGTAAGAAGTCCAATGTGGGAAGACATATAGAGAGCTTGGCAATATGCTGTGTACATTAGAGGTGTAGGTTAAATGCCATTTTTTGACCATTCTTGCATCCTTTCAAACCCACAATCCTGATTTTTTGCTGGCCTTTCTGGATCCATTGTACTCTTCCAACTCTTCTCATCAGTGATTCACTTTGTTTGGATTCTACAAGCTCATAGGCTACAGGCCATGTGGTTGACTTAATTAAATCCTCTGGGTTTTTTTGCATACACGTCTTCTATTGAGTAATTCTGTTCCCTACTGTACTTAAATAGTTCTATCGAAGCTGAAGATGTAGCTAAGTTTGGAGGCTGCCTGTCTAGTGTGGGTGAAGTCTAGGTTTGATCCCTAGTACCACATATATGGGTATAGTTGCACATGTCTGTTACCTAGTTAAAAAGTGGAAGATCAGAAATTGAAGATCATCTTCATCTTCATAGCAAAATCAAGGCCAACTTGAGCTACATGAACCTTTGCCTCAAATAATATTAATAAATAATAATAACAAAAATGATAATAGTTATTATTATTATTATTATTATTATTATTATTATTATTATTATATTTGGCTTTGTGGTGCAAAGGCTATCACTGAATAACAGCCTCCTGAATAGGAAGTCTTAGGAGAAGAAAAATCTTCCAAGAGTTTCATTGTGACAAACAGTGAAACTTTACCACTCAGGAAGCATTACTACTGTCCGGTGAACTTGATATTCCCACTTCATTAATGATAGCCCACACTGAATACTAGCTCTGATTCAGGCAATGTCTTAAGCACTTTATATACATTACTTTGCTTTTGAGTTGATTCTATTAGTATTCCTGTTTTATACTTACCAACTCACCTGAGGTCACTCTGTTCTGATTTGCAAGTGAGGATTTAAGCCCAGGTGGTCTAATTTCAGATTCCTACCCTCAACTGTGCTTTTATATTCAATAGTGCCTCTATAGTAGTTCCAGGGTCATAGAGTTAACGTTTATTCTTTAATGTTTGATTTGAAACTTTGAAAAAATAATATTCAGCTTTAGTTTTGAAAAAGTCACAGTTTCTCCCTATCATTATATTCTATTACTTCAAATTTCATTTCCCTTAAGGCAACTACTGTGAACAATATTTTCAGAGTTTTTTTCCCTAATCATAAGATAAAAAAAAAAAACAAGAAAACACCCATGGTGTGTTTGCAATTTTCCCTTCAGCTTTTTGTCTTCTGAAAAGGTAGCCTGTTCTCAGCTAGTTGGTAAAAGTTTTAAGTAAAAATGACTTAAACACAGCTCTGGTACACATGCATGTATGTTCTTATGTGTACCTTGTGTATATCTTATATGTACTTATATGTATATGTGCATACACAAATACATGTTTACTGTGTAGAACTTGGATTGATTCCGATGGAAAGGCGTGTCACCCATGTCCAATGAAGACTGATAAAGTTAAGTTCTTAGCTGCTTGTGGATCTAAATATACAGTTTTCTACCCAATAGAAACCTAGTTTGATTTAGAAACTACAGGTGGATGAGTTTTTTAAATTCTCAGGAATGGAAATGTTATTTCCTTCAATTTAGAACAAGCACTGCTTTAGAATAAACTTGACAATGTATATATGACTGAGTTATTTTGATGCTTCTAGAAAAATGAACAGCTGCCCTTTTCAGCTATGGAAATGGGTTTTGTTGCAGCTTTCGGTGCCTGACTTTCTGGAGTCAGTGTGAGAGTTTTGTTTCTAGATCCTTCTATGAAGAAGGGCACTGTGATTTCTAATTAGCAACACACACACACACAAAATAGCATAGTGGAAATAACCATGCTTTTCGTCATGCACCGGACCATTTTCCTAAAAAGAGAGGTCACCAGAAGCACGTAGCAGAGAACTCCCAGATGGCCCTCAGATTTGATTTCCTTTCAGCAGCTCCTATTCAGCAGATGGATGGGAAAGCTGACCTCTCTGACACGTCTGCATCACTGCCTGCTACTCCAATTGCCTTGGTGAATGTTTTTTCATAAGGCTTCTCCTGGTACCTCAGAGATTGATGCCTGACTGTCTGCCTGTGTTATGCTTCATTACGCCGCGACCCTGTGAGCTTGAGAGATGCTATATTCTATAAAAGGGGAAAGCCTAGCTCATCAGAATCTCAAACGTATCTTACAGTCTCTCAAGTTGTGTGTAATGTCTCAGAAGATATTATCTTTCTAGATGAACCTCTAATTCATATCCATCTAAGGCTTATTTTATTTTATTTTTCTGTGCTATGGCTAGATTAAAAACAATGCAAACAGTTCTCTAGAAATGTCTATATTCGACTGTTTCCAGCACACCCATTAAGTCTCAAAGCCCTAGCAATTTAAATGTAGATATTGTTGATTTTCTTCTATCACTGTAGCTTTAGTGGCTGAGAACACATACCTTGGTAGAAGCTCTTCCTTTGCCATTTCCATCACTTTAGGGGAAGCCAATGCTTTAGGATAAGCGTGCTTCCTTATTTGTGAGCCATAGCTGTTATTCATGCCAGATAGTCAGGACTAATGTGAAAGTTAAACAAGCAATGAATGGCAAGTGTTTTCTCTATCTCCAGCATTTGCTAAACGTACACTGAAATGTTTCTTTGAGGTATACATGAGCATTTTGAGTGCCTGAGCATATACCATAGGTATGATTCCAAACACAAAGTGATTTTTGTCCAGGCTTATTTGGACTGTGAAGCAAGCAGATTGTTAAGGAAGAAGTATTTTTTCTGACCAGATTGATGCATTGATGGTCAACCTTCTCTATGAGGACGACTTCATTCCCTTCTGAAGACCCTCACATACTCGGTGCGCTTTGTTAGAGATGAGCTCTGGAGACACTGCACTCTGCCTTACCTCCCATCTCACCAGCAGGCTTATATTTTTATGACATGGCAATGCAAAGAAACTGTCCCCAAACATGGATATCCAGCTGGTTCTGGTTTCCAGAAGGCTGACCAAGGTGGCAGGCTGCAGAGACCTCTATGACCTGCAGTTCTGGGATATGTCAGGTTGCAGTCATCTCCTGGGTCACAGGTCTCCACACAACTGGGCTTCAACACAGGTTTTAGTGCTAGCAGACTTTGGGCTTGGGAGCCAGTACGCACTGGCTGGCTCACCTTGTAGCTTGAATTGGATCTCTCCTTGATGCAGTTTTGATGAACTTTGCTCTTCGATTGCCACTTTGTTGTGAAACTTGGTTTAGGAAGTGACTTTTCCCTTTCCACAGATCTAACATAAGGCCAGACTATGCAGACTCCAATTTCCACGACTTCAAGATGCACACCTTCACTCGGGTGACGTCCTGCAGAGTCTGCCAGATGCTCCTGAGGTAAGATTTCTTGTCAGGCCTGTTTTCCAGTCTAAATGAACTGCTAAGTATTTAAGACTTTTTAGCAAGCTACAAAGGTGTCCGGAAGTAGAGTTCTTATTTTCCCACTTGAGACATAGTAGGTCCTTGCTGGCCTTGGACCTGTTCTGTTTCCTCAAGAATCCCATAGTGATAGAGATCTGATGATACTTTGGACAGCATCGTGATCTCCTCTTCCTAGTCCTTGGACTAGTGATTTTACAAAGCACAGCTTACACATTTTAATACGCATTCTCCACTTTTACCTTGCAGGGGAACATTTTATCAAGGCTATTTATGTTTTAAGTGTGGAGCAAAAGCACACAAAGAATGTTTGGGAAGAGTAGACAATTGTGGCAGAGTTAATTCTGTTGGTAAGTCATGTTTATTGTTGGGATTTTGTTTTTAATGAGGACATAAAACTTACTAAATACAATTAAGGCCCAATTTACTCTTAATATGTGTTTATTGGAACATGTCTTTTTGAATACATCATTAATAAGTACAATTAGAAAATTGTTTAAGATCTGTGTGACTTTTCTACATGACTTGACTTCAGGATACGCTTGGATGGTTTCATGGCACTCCTTTCATTTACCTCAGTCCCAAAATATATCACCAAATTATTTGAATACTGCCAATACAAACAGTAATGAAAACAAAAGAAAAAAGAAGATATTCTTCTATCTTGAGCTCTTAAACTTTTTCTCTTTTAAATATTTATATCAGATTCGTTATTGGTTCCAGAAGCAAACATTACACAGACTAATTCAAGAATTCATGAAGTGAATACATTATCATTTTCCACATTAAACAAAGCATATATCCTTTGGATTTATGTAAACATTTTCTGCTTGATTTTTAAAAATAGCACTCTATGCTTGTTGTATGAGCTCGTTGCAAATTATGCATTCAATAGCCTTTGCCGCTCTCTGCTCCTCTTGGGCTCTCTCCCTTCTCTTTCTTTTCTGGCCTCTTTATTCTTTCTCTTTCTTCTTCTTTCTCTTTGTCCTTTTCCCCTGAGTTCCCCTGTGTTTTATCAATAAGACCTTTCAAAATCAGGAAGAGTTTTTGAACACAAGAAAGGATCTTTAACAGCTTGAGTTCAAAAGGTAGCCATGTCAACCTTTGATTTTCCCAGAGGAGAAGGTGGACATTGAATTATTTTGGATAATGTGAAGAAGAGTGTAACAGAAAATATCTTATTTCAGAGCTGAGTTCAGAAAATGAACAGTTGTAGAAAAGGTGAAACCTATTCGAGGGCTGAGATCACAGCACAGCCCTGTCCCTCTGCTCCTTCAATAGACAACTTCAGAGGGCCCCCTGTGCCATTCTCTGTGCCATGCAAGGACAATCATGCTAGCAAAGATCTTGACATTGACTGAATACCTCCACTGTGTTGAGTACTGCCATATCCTACAGAAAGTATTTAGTTTTTAGAATAGCCCTTCCCATGGCCAGTAAGCTCAGAGGGCTTCTGCTACTTACTGAAGGAGGTAAAGTGAAGCACATAAGGTTACCATTTTCATCAGTCTGAAGGTCAGAGCAGTTTACAAAATGGTGAAATAAACAGTAACACTATACATTATGACTGTTATTCTTCAACCACCAGCCTGATACGGCAAAACCTAGTTTTATTGTTTCACCCTTACACATCTTACTCTTCAGTGAACATTCTGTTTGCTTATGATAGGCTAACATGCTTGCAAAAGTCCTGTAGTTTCAGATTTGAATGTCCTGAATTACTGGATGAGGGCCAGATGTTCTTAGTGGCTACACCTGTCCTCCCCATGTAAGAAAACAGGCTTGTAAAGAGTTGAAAATAAGGCAACTGAAGATTAAGAATGATAGTGTCTGGTAGGCTCCAGATAGTGAGATACAGAGATATCATCCATTAAAAGGTAGCAGCATTCTTTTAAATTCTGTTTTCGTAATTTACCATAAAGCAGAGAAAGGATTGTTTTTTGAAACCCTGACCACATTACATGAGCACACGCCCTTGGGCTCTTGAGTCTCTGTCACTGCTCTGAATCCCCATATTGACCTACAGTCTCCCCCACTTTCCACATCCACGACTTTCTCCTCTTTTTTTATGTCCTTTCCTGCTTCAGATTTTGAAGGGGTGAGTGAGTGGCACTGAATTCTCATAGTTCACTAGGAGTATGACATGTTAAGAACCTGATTACCAGGCTTCTCATTTCCTTCAGACCAGGCTTTGTAATTTAGAGGCCTCATCTTCAGGGTGAAGGGGCTCTCTGTGATCACTGCCTCAGTACTTTTCTCCCCTGTCCCTCAGCAGGTGCCCTCTAAACACTGGAAGACATTACACTCTGTTCTCAAACTCACCCATCCCTGGACTAGTGTATGCAACCACTGTGGATAGAGTATCTGAACTGGAAGATCTGCTGGGAGTGCGGTAGAATAGACGTTATGTTGGGGTTATGGGGAAGCTACTCTCATGTTCTCTCCTCTGGCCTGCTGAGAATCCCTGAATGCCGTGTTTTGCATTGAGATTTCACTGTTTGGAAATTGCACATTTGGCAATTCATTTAACCTAACTTCTGCAGTATCTGGGGCGACACAAGCTCAGGGCAGGGAGGAGGAAACACAAGGTGCGTTTGGGGGTAGAGACATGGTTTACTTGAGTGGGAAATTTGTATGGAGTGGAGTGTACTGCTTAGAGAACTTGACTTTGAGGAAAATGACCCCAACAGGCAAATTGAAAACAAGTTACTAGTGTTGATTTAAGGCAAAGTTAAATGCTTATGTAATCATTTCCCATGCAACACAAATCATGGTTTGAGACTCATTCTTACTTTATAAGGGTTTCAAGTTCCAAAGCTTAACCTAGTCTAACTATATTCTCAAGAGACAGGGAGATTCTGGCTGGTTAGTGTGAGTCAGGAGCATGTTTGTAGATCAGGGCGCTGTGATGAATATGGATGGTGACATTGTAATAAACCTTGGACAGTTGTGGAAGGAGAACATGATGTTTTCATTTGAATTGGCCATACACACAGAAAGAAGTAAAGGTAGAGGTAAAGAAGCACAGGTGTACAGCATGATAGAGTCGACCAGGGTCTAAATGAAGGCTAGAGAATCCCTACTGTGCTGTCATTGCCACATCCTTGCACCCTCTGGCCATCTCACCACAGGCCTTGCCTCTCTCACTTTTTCTCATTGGAAACTGTTAGCCAGTCTCCTTAATACTCTTTCACACCCCATTATCCCACAGGCAACCTTTGAAGATCGGACTTATTTCTCTCACTTAAGTTGCAACCCATATCTAATGAAGATTAGTGTTGGCTCCATCTACATATAACATGTTTTCTGAAATCTGGATTTAACACCTTCATCTTCAGCTGACATGTCATCTGCCAGTTGCCTTCAAGTAACCTCCAGTACTGAGTCCAAAGCCATTTTCCCTATCCCAATACATGCTTTCTTAACTTTTTATCCACATACTTACCCAAACCCAGGTGTAAGCTCTTTACCCACCTATTCTTTTCCTATCTTGCTTAGAACCTACTTGTAGCAGGAATCTTAAAAGTTCTTATTAATAAAATCAAACCTGAGGCCAAGTATTGGTGTGAACACTGGAAGATCAGAGAGACAGAACAAGATACAGCTAACCTCACCTGGCCAACTTCTCAGCTGGTCTTGTTTCCTCAGACTGGAAGCCTCTGTGTCCTCATCCCAATGGTTCTCAGCTGAACTGTGCTGCTAGAAGCCTGAACTCTTAACCAGCCAAATCTTCTAGTTTCTGGTCCTCACACCTTATATACCTTTCTGCTTTCTACCACCACTCCCTGGGATTAAAGGCTTGCTTTCTGGGATTAAAGGCGTGTGTCACCATGCCTGCCTGTTTCCAATGTGGCCTTGAACTCACAGAAATCCAGAGGGATTTCTACCTCTGGAGTGCTAGGATTAAAGGTGTGAGTGCCACCATTTTCTAGCCTTTGTATCCAGTGGCTGTTCTGTCTCTGACCCCAGATAAGTTTATTAGGGTGCACAATATTTTGGGGAACACAATTACCACCACACCTACTGCTATAGTATTGATTTAAATGGAAATCTCATTGTTTCTATTTTTCGTTCTGCTTTTCATCTTTTTCCTTCTATAGACTTTCTGAACGGGTCTTTCAAAATCCATTGTTATTATATTACTCACTTACTTCTGTTCTTTCCATTTCCTACAGAATACTGTCCAAGCTTTCCCCCCAACAGCTATAACACATAGTTCTGGGTCATTATCTGCCCCCTTTTGACCATCCCTTAACTTTCCCAGCTGACATTGAATTTCTGTCTATTCATAGTTCTTCAACTACTTTTCTCATGTATCTTCTTTGTTTCTCTTTCAGTCTTCCCTTCCTCATTCTGTTCAGTTTGAAGACTCAGTGCAAATATTACCCCACTTGGAAGACTTTCTGGAACTCTGCACACCTGGCCTTTCTTAGTCTACCGGTTGTCTGTGTTTTCCTGGCATCTTATAATTAACTTTATCATAGCATTTATCACATTTATTATAATTGCCATCTGGCTGATCTCTCTAATTAGGCTCAACCATATGCAGTTGATATTTTGACCTCAGGGAAGACTTGGTGTGTGGATATGTGGCTGGATAGCCCACAAGAGTGATAGACAGATGAATGAGTCAGGTTCCTGGGCCCTGAAGATCATTATCATCTTAGATCTAGAAACAGTGTGGAAGTTTATGCATGTTTGGGTTCCATGCTTGTGGAGGTAAGAGCTTGATAAGATGGTAGACATATAAAATAATAAAAATAAATCCTCATTCTGTGACTCACTGGCTTATACTTTAAGAATGAAATAAACTAAGTAGACCTTTTACATTCCTTTCTGAGTAGTTATGCAAGGAAAGACTTATGCCCCAATCATTGATTACCAGGCAGTGCACCTGGGGTAGGTTAGTGAGAGACAAGAAAATGAACCAGCTCACACAGCACCTGGTGCTTAAAAAGAAGCTTCTTTCCTATAAATCTACTTCCTGATCCAGCCAGTTCCATTGTTAGAATTCTTATTTGGCTCTTATTGCTACCTCTAGATGGAATATTCCCTCTTTTCTCCTTAGCAATCCCAAGTCAGCCCTTCCTTTTCTTAGGTCCTATCCCACTTCCTTGCCAATCATTAACATCACCTTGATCACCAGATGGTCATGTGAATTCAATTCTTTAATTAGCTTAGAGGGTAGGACTCATTTAGTTTTCCAACGTTAGGCTGTACTGTGATAGGTGATACCCCTACCCGCCCCCCCACAGTCTCTAGTAGCTTTAAAGTTTAATTAAGTGAACACACACTGTTTACTGGGAATTCATAGGTCCTACAGAGCAGGTCCCCCACCAAGCTTATGGCC